ATAGATTTTTCAGATTGATGGAGGATGTGTTGCATATGGTTCTACATAGAACCTTTCTGAAAATGGTTCTATATAGCACCAAAGGAGTTCTTCTATTGTTACAAGCTTAACATTGTAACAGAAATAGAACCCTGTTTGATGCTATAGAAAATCATTTTCAAAAAGGTTCCATGCAGAACCTATGTATAGGAATCATAGATATAACCATATCCCTTACTAAAGAACCCTCGAAGAACCGTTTTTAAGGAGTGTAAAATAGATTTTGATATTATGATGATTTGATCTTTTCACTTTTTTAAATTTTGCTCAAAAATGTGAGTTGAAACTCCAGTATTAAGACAACAACAACAATAACAACAACAATAACAACAACAATATTCACACTGGTAAATATAGGCTTCACAAAAAGAGCAGAACAAAAAAAATCGAAATAAAAAAAGGTTAATCCACAAGGACGTTATTAAGGTGCACTATGTATTATTATTATTATATAGCCTAATAACAATGTTTTAAAGTTTGCCTTATACGCACCGTGAGCGCGGAAAACTTGTGCGCGCGCCCCGCGTGCAGCAGCAGGCAGAGCAGCGCGAGCAGAGAGACGCGCGCGCGCATCCTCACCGCTCCTCTCAGGTTTTAGCCGCAGCTGAGAGCCGGTTTCGTCCGCAGGGAGGAGCGCGTTTCTCCACACTTTTCACCTTCGCCCTGAGGTTTTTCTCAACAAATCCTCCCTTTACTCTTTTATCACTGTCGCTGTCGTTCGGTGAAGGCGCTGGTTTTATCCGTGGCTCGACTGTTTCTCTGCGGTTCAGTCTAGTAGCGGCTTCTGCTCTGAGAGGTGCTAAGGCTAACGGTAATTCTCCTCAGCAGGCTGGTGAGATTCCCCTCTGGAGTGTCCCGACCCTGTTCCCTCCTCAGCGCCTTCGGTCAGACTCAGACTCAGTCTTTTTCTCTTTCTCTTTCTCCCTCTCTCTCTCTCTCTCTCTCTCCCTCCCTCTCTATATCCCTCTGTCCCCCTCCCCTCCCCTCGTTTGTCAGCGCTGATGTCTTATCGGATGCAGGCAGAGCCTTCAGCCCTCGGGGAGGCGGGGTGGTAAGTTTGGAAGGAATCTCTTAGATGCTGGTAGCTAAAGCAAACACCGCCGGCTAACCCTTTCCAAATGTCTCTCTCTCTCTCTCTCTCTCTCTCTCTCTCTCTCTCTCTCTCTCTCTCTCTCTCTCTCTCTCTCTCTTTCTCTTTTCTCTTCTCTGCTTTTCTGTTCCTTTCATCAAAAGAGCTATCTTGTTCCTGTCTTTTATTAGCCTTCTCGCAACTGCATACACCGATCAGCCATAACATTAAAACCTCCTCCTTGTTTCTACACACTCTGTCCATTTTATCAGCTCCACTTACTATATAGGAGCACTTTGTAGTTCAATTACAGACTGTAGTGCATCTGTTTCTCTGCATGATTTGTTAGCCTCCTTTCACCCTGTTCTTCAATGGTCAAGACCCCCAGAGGACCAACACAGAGCAGGTATTATTTGGGTGGTGGATCATTCTCAGCACTGCAGTGACACTGACCTGGCTGTGGTGTGTTAGTGTGTGTTGCGCTGGTACAAGTGGATCAGACACAGCAGTGCTGCTGGTCCTGTGGGGGTCCTGACCATTGAAGAACGGGGTAAAAGTGGTCTAACAAAGTCTGCAGAGAAACAGGTGATTGTAGAACTACAAAGTGCACCTATATAGTCAGATGAGCTGACAAAATCTACAATGAGTGTAGAAACAAGGAGGTGGTCTTAACGTCATGGTTGACTGGTGTGTATGACGTACAGTGCTTTGGCTTCATAGTGAGTCTCACACCGTTCACTAATAGGCATATAGTGCACTTTTCTAGAACAGGAGCCATTATTTCACTATTTCACCAATGCAGTGCATTATGTAGGGAGCTACCTGAGCCCCAAGACCACATTAAGCAGATAGGGCACTATCTGGATGCAGAAGTCATTATTTCACCTACACGGTTCACTATATTGGACCTGTAGTGGACTATTTGGGTCTAAAAGCCATTATATAACTTTGGTGGTGCAGCCATTTGAATCCCAGATGTCTCCTAATGAATGTAATGTGCACCATTCGGATGCAGAAGTCATTATTTCACCTACATACTGACAGAGTCATTCTTTTGCCTCAGTGGTGCAGCCATGTGAATCCCAGATTATATGTGTGTGTATATATATATATATATATGCAGTGCACTATTTGGGTGCAAAAGCCATTATTTTACTGTTACACCTGTGTATTGCACTGTACGGGGAGCCATGTGAACCTCAAATGCTCCATATGATAGGGCGCTATAGGGTATTTGAGGGAAGAAGCTATAATATATATATAATTTTGTACCACCAGGTGTAGAACCCATTATTTTACCTACACTATATGTCAAAAGGTTTGTAGACAGATGCTCATGCAACGTTTCATTTCAAACCAACGGTGTTAATATGGAGTTTTTTCTCTTTTTTGCTGCAGTTACAACCTCTACTTTTCTGGGAAGGCTTTACGCTAGATGTTGGAATACTGCTGTGAGGATTTGATTGCATTCAGCCACAAGAGCAATACTGAGGTCAGGTACTCATGTTGAATGATTAGTTCTGGATCACAAGCTCCACTCCATCTCATCCCACAGGTATTGTATAGAGCTCCATCTCCCCAGAGAACATAGCACTGGGCTGTGGAGCAGGGGGCTTTGTGCCTCTTTAGCAGATGCTTAGCATAAGTCATTGGACATGGTGACGTTAGGCTCCTTTGCAGCTGCTCCAGTGCATCCCATTATTTTGGCAAAGCTGTGTGCTGAAAGCCTTTATTAGCAATAGGAACACGTTAAAGTAGCTGAATATACTCATTGTAAGGTGAGTCTGGATACATTTAGAAATGTAGTGTTAGTACTGCACATGCAGTGCACTATGTGAGTGTAGCAGCTAGTGTTTCACCTATGTAGTACTGTAGGGTGATTGAGATTTGGCTTTGTCCAAGCATGTTTGGGCCACATTATTCCTTCTTTTAGGATTCTTATGAGAGTGAAAACTTTGGTGGTAGACCAGCAGCCATCATCTTCAACACTCTCAGTCTTTTTTGTGTACTTACACGCAATTTAGGCTGCAAATTCAAAATCACGTGAAACTGAACTCTGGGATGTTTTTGATGATCAAAGTAACATATGACACTGGTTAAAGAGATTAAAGCAAGAAACAGTCTGGTGCTCATGGATTGAGAAACACTTAGGTTAGCTTTAAGCCTGCATCCAGACTTTTTGCTGTTCTGTCCCATGAATTTGAAAATGGAAATGAATTCAGGCTCTACTGAAGCATTACTTTCCATTTAATAATACAATTCAGTAATAAAAATGAAAGTCAACTAATGAGAAAACAGAGAGCTGATTCACATGCAGAGGTAATAAGTAGTTCCAAGTAAAATTCTGATGGATTTCTGCTTTCACTGAAATGTTCGATGTATAAAACCTCTACTTTTTCACTTCTTATTCAGTTACAGTCTTCTTTTGTGTTGAATTTCTTTTAGTTACATTTGGTAACAACATCTGTAGTGGTCATTTCTGTTACGTCTAAAGTTTACCATGTTGATTTAGACTAAGAATACATTGCAAATAGAAGAGCAGAGCATAACAAACCATTTTTTTTTTGCTGATAGATTCAAGATTTACTACAGTTCTCAGTACTTAAGTATAATTTATTAGCCTGGCACTTTCGTACTTCTACTGAAGATGTTTTTTGGAAAGCCATTGTTAGATCGTGAAGTATTTAATTACATTTTTACTGTGAATTTGCCCTGTCCTGAGTATAGATGATAATAGTTTTACATGATCTTAAGTATATTTATAAGTAAAGTAATGTGTAAACTTAACTTTCTTAGGGATGCTGGATGCTAAAAATGTCCACTGTAATTCCATAGGGAACTTTTCTGGATCTGATTTTTGGGTTTTAATAGCTACTATTTTTTAATGTAACGATTATTTAATCTATAACAAAAGTACCTGAACTTCTGCTTGAAGACCACTAACCCACCTCTGGCTGCAACTTGCTTAAGGACGCTGCTCACGAAGTTCCCTCGAATATCCAATATGGAGAAATGCCGCCCTCTGCTGGAAGACTTTAACGCTGCAGTTCTGAAAATGTATAATTCAGTTATAACAGTTTCCCTTAAGAAACGTAAAGTTACATGAGAAGAAATAAATGGACCTGAATCTAAATTGAAGTTGTTGTTTTTTTTTTTTTAATTATGTTCTTAATCTTCACATATGCAAAGAATACATTTGTTCCTTAGCAACATGGTTAGAATTACTTAGAAAAAAGTTTTAAGGTTCAGTTCTTGAACAATATGAGTAAACCGAAATTTTATTAAAATGCAAAATACAAGGATTTGTGAGCAACTTTTGACACCAATTTTGAGCTTTTGGCACAAATCTCTGAAGCGACCTCTCCTGGCCAATAATTATGAGTAATTTTGTAATTTTCTTAACGTTCTCACAATAAATTTAAAGTTATAACAATTATTGTTCTTATAGGTAGTATTATTATTTTTATTATTATTATTATTATTGTTATTATTATTGTTGTTGGTGGTGGTGGTGGTGGAGGTGGTGGTGGTGACGCTAAAAACAATAACAAGAAAATGTGTATTGTTGCAAAAGAAAGAGAATATGGTTTTGGCTGAGGATGTTTATTCATGCTTATAATAAACACTTATTTATGAGCGGTTATTTTATGTAATAACAAACAATAGATGGTATGTAGGTTTGGGGGGGGGCTTGAAATATGGAGTATAAAACTCGAAACAGATTCATTATATAAATCATATGACATACACGTTTTAAGACCTGCGCCGTTTCCGCCTCATTTTACCCCACAGGATGTCATACTGAGATGTTAAAACATTAAAATTATGTAATTATAAACTGCGCGCATTTCTGAGAGCTTTTATCGTAGATCTTCTCCTCCAAAGCGGAAGGTTCGCTCAGTCCGTTTCCTCTCTGTCTCTGCGCGGCGCCGGTGACTCGTGGCTGCGCTCACAGCGGCTTAAACGCACTGATTTTAACCAGGAAAAACACAAACTCACCACTTCACCATGTCTTACCAAAACGAGGACGACGAAGTAAGATTTTATAGCTTTGTGTGACTTCAGGAGCTTCAGACTCTCATGAAAATACTCTCATTTGAATGGTGCCGTGCTAGCAGGCTAACTAGGGCGAGGTTAGCTTAGCGGAGCGGGCCGTTATGAGACGGTAGCTCGGAGTGGAGACGTTTGTGGTCGGTTAGGAGAAAATTAATGTTTAAAAGGCTCTTTGTAGCTCGTGGCAAGTTTCTTAACTACACTGACTGAACGACCATTCGTGCACTAACTAACCTTTGTGTGCGGGACGGTTCAGCAGGATCCGCCAGCTGCTTGATCGAATTTTCCCGGTCCACCTTAAATGCTGTAGTAGTTGCATTCCAGCACCTGAGGCGCCAGAATAAAACTGCTGCACTCCTTAAGGTAGACTGGGGAAATCGAATAAGAAGCTAATTTGAGCTTCGTTGCACATATTGATATATGAACCAAGAACAAAACATGAAACAAACCTTAATACGAATTAACTTCCGTCAACATCACAACACGTTTTGTGTAATAAGGTTCAATATAGGTAAGAAACGATTGAAATACGGATAACGTTATATTATTTTGTCTGGTGGTGTAAATAGTAGCTAAAAGCGCCATTCCCATCCATACATATTGCTAGTTTAGCTAGCAGCTAACCTCCCAGGCGTCAGTTGCGATTGTTAATAATGACGTATTTAATTCTTAATCCCTTATTCTCCAGGGTGTGTTTTGGTTTGTCCATCTGAATTTACATGAGCAAATCCTAAGGCAAATTATTCAGTAACTGCATGAAATAAATGTAAATTTTTATTTTATTTATTTATTTGTAAAAGCTTCCCTGAAATGAAACAAACGTGTGTTTTATGATTGTACACATATTGCTATATGCTTACAATTTACTGCTGAAAGCCAAAGATCTTAGACACTCTTTTTGTATTATCTTATAAAAATAATTTTTACAGAGTATATCACTGGAGAGACAGCATCTGTTTATAGTTTATGGCCTAGATTTGTGGAAAAATGGGTCGACTTTCAGTAGACAAAAAAAATTCAGTTCAGCTTTTTTATTATAAGAGTTTAAAATTACATTACCCATCTACTTATCTGGAAAGAAGACAGTTACAGCTCTCATATGACACCCACCTTTTGAATGTAGCTTATGAAATATGAAAGTTATGAAGAATATGACGAAGTGCGTTTTGGAACCGCCGGTGGTCTCAAGGAGTTTTAAAGGGTGTACAAGCGAATATCTTATTTATCTCAATATTGTTCTGCTGTTTGTTAGTATCAGCGTCAACATACACATCACTTGTAATGTAAATTGCTACTGTTGTTTTTGTCCTGTTAGTAGCTGTGCAACAAACGTTAGCTCAGATTATTATGGTGCATTGCTCTGTTTGATGTGGTGTCAGTAATTTTATGTTTTTCTTTCTACCAGTATGATCCCTACAGTTACCCCAGCGACTATGATTTTCACACTGGTGAGTAGTGTGAGTACACACAGACATCAGAACAGCTGGAAGACCAGCATCCTTACACTGCAATGACACTTTGTCAGCTGAAATACTAGTTCCATGACTGATTGCACGTTGATTTTTGATTTCAGGTAATTATGCCATTATGGCTATTTAAAATGTCTAGATAAGACCTGAAAACTTTCCATGTGTCCACAGGTGATCCTAAAGCAGATCTGGCTTACGAGCGGCAGTATGAGCACCAGCAGACGTATCATGTGATCCCTGAAGTGATAAAAAACTTCCTGCAGTACTTCCATAAGACCATCTCAGACCTGATCGACCAGAAGGTCTATGAGCTGCAGGCCAACCGTGTCTCCAGTGAGAGCATCGAACAGAAGATCTATGAAATCCAGGATGTCTATGAGAACAGGTACAGATATAATAGACATGGTTTGGTGGAAAATCTTTTCATTAAGAGAATGTGGCGTTTCATTAATACCCTCATTTGAAGGTCATCTTAAATATCTTCCTTCTTTTTTCCCTTCTCAAAAAATTATTCTCAGCTGGAACAAGTTAACTGATCGTTTCTTCAAGACCTCACCATGGCCAGAGGCAGAAGCCATTGCCTCACTGGTAGGAAATGGTGAGTTAATAAATTTTTTGTTTAAGATTTGTAATGAGTCTGTAATTGATGAAGACGTTTGTTGTGCTGATGGTATTGCCGTGTGTTCTCTGTAGGATAACTGGTAATAGTTACACATATTGGGTTTTCTGGACAAGTGGTTTGCTGGTTCTTAGTATGTTTTATTGTGGCAGACTTTAGACAGACATATGTGAGGGGAAAATTCATTTTTGTACTTCTGTAATTCATTTAAAAGTAATCTTGGTCTAAGACAATCATCGACAGTATCTTACCATCTGTTTTTATACTTTGCTTCCTTCTTGCAGATGCTGTTTTCTTGATCCTTTACAAGGAGCTGTACTACAGGCACATATATGCAAAAGTCAGCGTAAGTACTTAAGTACTTTAGCAGTCACCTTGATGTGTTGACTTGATTTATTCCTCTGTAATGCAAATTAAGTGCTTTTAAAGAGTAGTTGATTATATAAATTCATACTTTTTATGTTTGTGAAACTTTATAGGGTGGCCCAACACTTGATCAGAGGTTCGAATCCTACTACAATTACTGCAATCTCTTCAATTACATCCTCAGTAAGTCAAAGTCTTTAATATTTTTTACGTTTGAACAGCCAACAAAGAGCAGAAGATTCTTTGTACAATGTACAATTTGTAAAGTAAAACAGTTCCATTTATTTAGGAAGCTTGGATAGCAGCTAATAATGCTTCATTATTCATATTAGATGCTGATGGCCCTGCACCTTTAGAGCTTCCCAACCAGTGGCTCTGGGACATCATCGATGAGTTCATCTACCAGGTAAATCTAATCAAGCCATGAAGCAGTAATCTTTGTAAACCACTAGAAATTGCTACAGGTAGTCTTCAGTAAATTAGTGAGTAATATTTGCTGAAATGTAACAGGTGTGTAAAGAGTGGACAAACTGTTCTTGACCCAGGACAAGAAACAGGATTGTCATTCTTTATTTTGCTTTGCCTTTTTTCTAGTTCCAGTCCTTCAGTCAGTACCGCTGTAAGACGGCCAAGAAGTCTGAGGAGGAGATCGAGTTCCTGAGGAACAACCCAAAGATTTGGAATGTGCACAGTGTCCTGAATGTGCTGCATTCTCTGGTGGACAAGAGTAACATTAACCGCCAGCTAGAGGTCTACACCAGTGGAGGTAAAAGGGGAGGCAGTGAGTGGGAGAAAGTAGTTGTTAGTCAGGTGTACTTCGGTACAGTATTGGCCTCAGCTGTTTTTATTTAAACAGACACTTCCCTAAGCCCCACCCCTTAGTTACTGTTGATATGTTTGACAAACTTTCAAGTCAGATGTATCAACTATTGAATTTTCAATGTCATGTTTTGGCAATTTGTCTCCTAAAATGCTATGTATTTTTGGAGCAACACTTTTTAAAAAAAAAAAAGAAAAGAGCAGACAAATAGGTCTCCAATATGTATTCGAGGGCTACATCATGATCACTCTGGAGCCCAGTAGTGCTGAAAGGAGAGGCTAAAGCCTACAGATCACAATAAATTAGCCTAGGGGTCATAGCCTAACGACATGGGCATACAAGAGCAGCATTGCTGTAAACTTGTAGAATATAATTAGGTTGATAAAGTACCACTTGCTTGGCAAAGGTGCAGGGACTGTTCCCAGTTGTTAATCTGTGATTGGACAGGAGGTTTTTAGGGTCAGATGTGGGTTTGGGTGTCCTGACTAGTGTTGGAGAGAGTTTTAAGTAAAGCAAGACAGTTTTTGTTCACCAGTTTTTATTTTATGACTTTTTCAATGAGAGATATGCATTACTATGTGTTATAGGAGACCCAGAAAGTGTGGCTGGAGAATATGGCCGTCACTCACTGTATAAGATGCTGGGCTACTTCAGCTTGGTGGGTTTGCTGAGGCTACACTCTCTGCTGGGGGATTACTACCAAGCTATCAAAGTACTGGAGAACATTGAACTCAACAAGAAGGTAAAATATCTGTTTTTAATAGTCATTTGCTGGCAATAGTGGCGCATATGTTATACTAAACACCCTTTTGTGTTGTATTTGCTGTTGGGATGTATTTTTATAACGCTTAACTGTCCTTGCTTCTCTCTTTTTAAATTCAGAGCATGTACTCACGTGTGCCTGAGTGCCAGATCACCACCTATTACTATGTGGGTTTTGCCTACCTGATGATGAGACGTTACCAGGATGCCATCCGTGTTTTTGCCAACATCCTGCTTTACATTCAGAGGACAAGGAACATGTTCCAGAGGTCCACCTACAAATACGAGATGGTCAGTGCAATCCCCTTATCAGTGCTTTTATCATGGAGAGCTTGATTTAATGTTAGGTCTTAATGTTGAAAAGTAGAGTGAGTATTTGTAAATGACTGAGGAATTTGACGAATACAGTTATGAAATATTAGTGACTGGTTTTGGTGTTGTTAGGATGCTTGAATGTGTGAGTCCCAACGTGCTACAGCTAAAGAAAGGTTATACTAAGAGGCTTCTGTACATATATAGACAAGAATTTTCTAGTGTAGGATGCTTAGTAATGTTATTAACAACAGACCTTAGTTTAAAAATATATTGTTTAACTTTGCTCTTTACTGAACTTGGTTTTTCAGATTAACAAGCAGAATGAACAGATGCATGGGCTGCTGGCCATCGCTCTGACCATGTACCCTATGCGCATTGATGAGAGCATCCACACACAGCTCCGAGAGAAATACGGAGACAAGATGCTGCGTATGCAGAAAGGGTGAGGCATGCACACTTCACGCATCCTGTACACATGACTAAGGGTGCAATATGGAGGGAAGCGATATTCCCAAGTCGTCATCTCTGGATTACATGGACATTATATGGATCTGTATTACAAACATTTAAACCTTGTATTAATTTGCTTCCTTGTGTATCTGTTTGTGACAGAGATCTGCAGGTGTTTGAGGAGCTGTTCAGCTTTGCTTGTCCTAAGTTTCTTTCCCCTGTTGTGCCCAACTATGACAACGTTCATCCCAACTACCATAAAGAACCATTCCAGCAGCAGCTCAAAGTGTTCGCCGAGGAGGTACAGCAGCAGGCACAGCTCTCCACCATCCGCAGGTGTGTGTTTTTTATAGAGCCCTTTAAAAATTTTTTTCCTCTGGAAAAAAAAACATTGAACTCTGGATTTTAGAGAAATATGGTGTAGTTCGACGCATTTGGCTTCCAGGTAATGGCAGAGTCTGGGTGCCAGATGTTTCTCCCTTGATTTTGTTTTATGTTTTTGTTGTTATTTGAAAACAGAATGGCATATTTTTCTAGTTCTTCTTCCAATAGATGTCCACTAGGACAAAACTCTAAACTGCCACAAAGGCTTATAATCTGTTTGTTTGTTTGTTTGTTTCTGTCCTGCAGTTTTCTGAAGCTCTACACCACTATGCCCGTGGCTAAGCTTGCCGGCTTTTTGGACATGACTGAGCAGGAGTTCCGGATTCAGCTGCTTGTTTTCAAACACAAGATGAAGAACCTGGTCTGGACCAGTGGCATCTCAGCCCTGGACGGAGAGTTCCAGTCTGCCTCTGAAGTTGACTTCTACATTGACAAGGTGTGTGTATGGATGGAAGGATGGATGGTTATAAAATATATGTAACCAAAAGAATATATTGCAGTCATTTCCAGTTGATATTTTACACTGTAGATACAGATTCAGTGCATATAAAGATAGCTAAATGTTTTGGTCAGTGGTGCAGTTTGGGCTTATGCTCCCATCTCTCTTCAGGACATGATCCACATTGCAGACACCAAGGTAGCACGTCGTTATGGAGACTTCTTTATCCGACAGATCCACAAGTTTGAAGAGGTAAGCCTTTTTTCTTTTAAAAAAAAAAAAGCATTCTTTGACCCTTCATGTGCCTGCATTGAAAACAGTGACATTGTTATACTCTTTATTCAGTGAGAAATTTTGCTTAACTGTAGAGTAGATGTAGTATTGCGTGGACATGTTGCAGCAATGACTTGTAACTATTCTGTGCGGACACTCATTTTGCATGCGCATGCAGCCATTTACATGTCAATTTGCACTCCGCTTTAAGTTCACTATTAATTTTTTGGCCGAGAACGGGCGGGAATAGCAGCTGGAAAAGCATATGTCCATAAGAGCTTGAAGACTCATTGTCTTTGTTAGCACATATTAGACATGCCTCATAGCAACAGCAGCACTCTTTTCTGATGTTCCTTCAAGATGTAATGACATTTGCCAACCTTTGAAACATCTGATTTTTTGCTACAGAAAAGGTTAACCTGCCTCCACTTATCATTGACCTTTTAAAAAAAAAAACAAAAAAAAAGGACATAGTTCATAGACCCTCCCTGACAGCATGTTTCATTTAAAAGAACATCACCACATGGAAGAAAAATGCATTACGATTTCTGATTCACGACTCTTAACTGCTGTCTGGCAAGGCTTTTAGCGTTCATGAGAATTGATTGGAATAGAGAACATAATTTGACTTACTCATCTGTCTTTGTCATTCTAGCTGAACCGCACCCTGAAGAAGATGAACGTAACTAGCTCATCTGGCTCCAGCAGCAGCACATCACGGGCCACATAAAGCCAATCACCTCATCAACAGCACCTCTGATACCCCACCAGCCATCTGGACTTGGTTTCCTGAAGCATAGTAGGGATCATCATTATGGTGGCGGGTGGCTCTTTGAACGCTCTAACCATTGAATGATGATCATTACACTGCAAAGCTTTGTGGGAAGGAGACCAGAGGGTGCAGTGGTCCAACTCTGACACTTACTAACTGATCAAGAGCAAACCCTTTTCTCACAGATGAAGCAGATGTGGTCTCTTCCCGGATCTTATTACATCAGTCAGCGGCCAATCTGATCCAATTTGTGTGTTTTATTTTTCGCTGACTTCTCAAGTCATAAACCAAACAGGGCCAATTAAATTCTTTTTGTAGGTTAAAAAAGGTTAATTAAAGTTGATGTGGTGAATACATTGAGTTCTTTTTTCTTTCCCTTCAAGATTTAATCTTGTCATTTTGACATTGATACCATTTTAAATATGTTGTATTCAAACTGTGAAACTGAATCTGGAAACCCAGAATTCATTACATTTCAGAAAATGTTTGTACCAACAATGGGTGGGCAGTATGGCGATATTTATCGTTATCATAAATTACATCAGTATTCTTATGCTGCATGTTTTGCTACAAAGAGAGCATAATTAGTCCCATGTAATTGGATTTAGTGCAGCGTGGTATGTAAATGGTTGAATACAAATCAGTGAGTACATAGTGTTTTTTTTTGTTTTTTTGTTTTTTTTATGTAGCATTAGTGCTTCTTTTTTTGTTTGTTTCAACTTAGCAAACCTAAGAAAAACTAGTGATGCATAACGTGTATTGTGAAAATGTGTTCAAGTATTGTGATGTTATATTTTTGTCCTATGCCCACTTCTAGCACCAAACCTTTAATAGTCTGTGCTGCCAAGAGCACTACAGGATGAAAGGAGGTTATCTGTTAGGGGGGAAAAAGCAAGGATTACATTAAGCCGTGGTTCTCCAGGACCAGTATTAAAAACCATTGGTTTCAGGATGCTGGGGATATTTGAATAGAACTGAAAGACTAAAACCCTGTACTGCAGCAGTGCAATGGTGAATGCATGGTTAGGGGGCAGTCCTGGGCCCATAAGGGAGGTTGGTTTGATGTGGCCTTTCACAATCTGCAACTTCATTGTTCGAACACTAGAGGTCGCTAGTTGTGTACGTTTCCAGTGGTCAACTAATCATAGCCTCTGCATGAGGCCAAACATGTATGAGTGAAATACTCAGAGCCAGTGTGTTTTCAATGACGACTGAAATATTGATTTGCACCTTCATGTGGCTGGTTTAAAATTAGACGTTAGAGAAATTCAGTTTCTGCAACCCGCTTGGTAATAAATGAGAGTTGGACAGATGGACAGATGTTTTTCCTCAGTGGGAGATTCCTTGGTCTTTACTCCCTTTGCAAGCCATGGCACATTCAACATGATTGTCCCAAGAAATGTGAGTGGCTTACTTTTAATGTGAACAATGTGTATATACAACAGCTAAGGTAAAGTATGTTGAGTTTGAAATATACAAAATCAGAGGAATATTACATATTTTTTATGTTTTATTTACCTTGGGATTGTGAAAGGCACTATACATTTTATACTATACTGTTTCTTTGTCATTATTACTATTTAGCAATTAATTTAACCAGGCAAACCATTAAGAACATTCTACATACATATAATTATCAATACAAAGGATTAACCATATTATTACATAAAAAATACCATTTTAAAATGACATAATAAACATATAGGGGTTAATTATATAGCCTATAGAAAACAAGAAAACTATTTCAGCAGATGCTTCTTTCCTGTAGGTTTTAAGGAATCCAAGGGAATCCAGTTCATTCAGGAATAAACTGGTTTAGTGGATATTTGAAATTATGGAATTTGGCTGGAATTGTTAAAAATTAATAAAATAATTCCTTCTTGCTCCCAATAACTTCCAAATTTAATATCAATACCAAACGTGGCCTGCAAATGTTCCCAGCCAATGGCACATCCCATATTACCATATTACGTGTGGGTGGAGCTTAAAACCACTCCTGCCCAATGGCTGTCCCGTATGACGGTCCTGGTTTAAATGTGGGCGGGGTTTACACTCCCCTGCTCACTCTTAATGAAATCAGTGTCATTCACGCCATACAGTGACTCTGCCTCTGCTTCGGTGAGCCACGCTGGATGTATCTCGTATTCTCTGGATAATGTCTTTGCATCTTGTGCCGAAATGCTGAGTAGAAAAGTAGCCGGGACGGAGCTGCTGAGCGCGGCTGCGGGTGTGGACCGCGGGCGAGTCGGGGAGAGGCTGCAGGCGGCGCTGGCCGGGCTGCAGGAGCTGCACTTTCTGAGGGAGAAACAGAGCGACATGGTCCGCTGGGCACTTCGGATGGACAAGGAGAAGCCAGTCAGCTTTTCTCATCTAAATAACAGAGAGTCGGACACGAACACCGAGGAGCAGCGGCTGGAGGCGACGCTCACTGCCCTTAAACAACAACTGGTGAGGGGGAAAAGTACTTTTTTGGGGGGTTAGCTCACAGTTTGAGGTAATATGTGTTAGAAAAGTGCAGGTTTTTAGTGAACATAGACAGTTCTGGGGAGAAGTGGGTAGAAACTAGTCATATTCGCACGAGGTTGAAGTTGGCTATCCTAGCGTCTTGATGGAATTTTCCCGTTCCACCTTAAATGGTGCAGCAGTTACATTCTGGCGTCTGAGACCAGAGGCGCCAGAATGTAACTGCTGCACCATTTAAGGTGGAACGGGAAAATTCCAACAAGCAGCTGGAGAATAAGAAGTATACTTGTTATGAAATAAATATTATTTTTTAAATCAGAGCCATTGTAGGCTTTCTCATTCAGCTCCTTGGCTCTTGGTGACAGAACCTGAAGTACTTAGAACGTTCCTCAGACCTCACGAAGAGTGGCTCCTGACCAGCTTCAGTTCCTGATAGATGCAGGATGTAGTGAGAAGGTGTAATGCTAGAGCGACTTAAGGAGGGTTTGGATCTACATACATCTCTTTACTCCTACTCGAGTTGTTTTTTAATAGCTGGGGGTGGTCAGGGCTCGTAAATCACGTTGGTCCACTGCAGGGGGGGGTTGGGGGGATGGGCCAGGTGGGGGGTGTTTCCGTCTCTGATGATTAACCCAGTTTAATGAGAATGGCCGCAGAATGTTGACCCGCTTGGCCACACTGTTTGACCCCGCGATGCCCCTTAGTGGACGCTTGAACCTTTGTGAACTCTGGTCATGAAGGGGAAGCCTATCTGCTGGGTTGGCTTCAAATTCAGTTCAGTTTTTGCATAGCACTGTTTCAATAGACAGTGTCTCGAAGTAGCTTTCCAGAAATGTGGGTCCAGACTCCTGAGGGGCAAGTCAAGGGCAGGGACGATGTGTGTTGTGCTGATGCAAGTGGATCAGACACAGCAGTGCTGCTGGAGTGGAGAGTGAGTCCACACCCTGTTTCACCTTGTAGATGTGAAGTCAGAGACGATAGCTCATCTGTTGCTGCACAGTTTGTGTTGGTCATCCTCTAGTCCTTCATCAGTGGTCACAGGATGCTGTTGGCTGTACATTTTTTGCTTGGTGGACTATTCTCAGTCCAGCAGTGACACTGAGGTGTTAAAAAACTCCAGCAGCACTGCTGTGTCTGATCCACTCATACCAGCACAACACACACTAACACATCACCACCACGTCAGTGTTACTGCAGTACTGAGAATGATCCACCACCCAAATACTACCTGCTCTGTGGTAGGGCTGAAAGGTTTGGATGAGTTGGACCAATCAGAAGCAACCAAACTATATGCTGTGATGTCACAAACACAACTAACTGGCAGTCTGGCATGTTTAGTGTCCAAATCTCAAGCCAGAAAAAGTGGATATTCTGGTCTTCTTGGCCAAAATAACAGGCCTGGACAGAAAATAATCGCAAATGAAATCAGTCACAGTATCAGTCAGAAAAATTGCAGTTAGGTATTTTTCCCCAAATCATTCAGCCCTACCTACTCTGTGGTGGTCCTGTGGGCGTCCTGACCACTGAAGAACAGGGTAAAAGGGGGCTAACAAAGTATGAAAAGCGACAGATTGACTACAGTCTGTAATTGTAGAACTACAAGTGCACCTATATGGTATGTGGAGCCTGTTAAATGGACAGCTATTATAGAAACATCAAGGTGGTTTTAATGTTATGGCTGATCTGTAAACCTGTTGTGTTTTGTGACATCAGAAAAATGAATTCAAAACCAGTTATTTTTACACATTAGTTTGCAAATATGGTCTGTACGGACTGTGGAGTGACTGCTCTATTTTAAACTTTCGGCGTTTCCATGGGCCTTAAGGTGTAGAAGCCACTGTTTCATGACCTATGTAAAGCACTAGGTAGCCAGGTTGAGTTCTTCTAGAGGGCACATTTCCTTTCAATGAATTAGAAGTTTTACGCAACAGTGGTCCCTGTTAAAGGGGTTTGCACTGCTTTGTAATAACATGCAAGTCACCAGTCATGCAGGGGAGTGGTTGATAAAAGATTCACAGTTGGTTTCTAAGGCAGGTCCACTAAGGGCAGAACTGAAATCAGAGTGGATACTCCTGGCCAAGGCCAGCAGCATGGACATAAAGATGTAAGAATATTGCATGAAGTCACTTTGTTTTTAAATTGCGTTTAAATGCCTATTTTGGATCATTCATTCACACAAAAAATCGCAGGTTATTTGGTAAATTAATAAACGTACATAACGTAAATTAATTTAAATGAAAATAAATTATGAAAGCTACATCCAGATTCTAGGCCAATTTGACCAATATCTTGATCATGAGGTATTGATGTTACTAACTCAATACCTCATGTCCAAAAACAAGACTCTCTATACTCAGTATTTGGCTTGTAGGGGTTAGTCAGATCACTCCAGTCCAATATTTGGCTTGGTGTTGTATTGCCTCGTGTTTGAGTACACAATGGCCTGTGGTTCTCTGCGGGGGAGAATGAACCTACAGCATTGCACCCCCAGGCCATCCCTTGTCCTTGCTCGGTTAATGGTCAACTACACTCCCTCTTTCTTCTTTCCTTCCCCCGAACGTCGTATAACCACAGGAGACTTGTGTCATTCATTAAAGATCTTCAAGTGTCTGGTTCCATTGTTTCCTTCTTTGGTCAATAGCCTAGTTATTTAGGCCTAGATATGCAGTACTGGTTGTTTTGTGTCATTCATTATTCGCTTTAGTTGCAAGACCTGGGGTCATCAGTTCCAGTCCTGGAAGGCTGTAATCCAGCACAGCTGCTCTAACACACCGACTAAACCTGGTAATTAACCGCTGGGTTGAGACAGATGTGTTTAAGGAGGAAAACCACCAAATTCCGCTGGAATTGGTGAGCTCTGGGTTAGACTTTATTTACCGTGCTGGTCTTATTAAGCTTCCTTTTCTCAATTGTTGTTGAGATATGGATATTTATACATTCATAAGCATATGGTATTTTAAAACACTGGAAGCAAAAAGAATGGAAGCTGTAGTAAAAGCAAAGAGTGGACACAATACAGAAAAAGTGATACTCTATGTAATTTTCGTTATTGTAATACGTATATTTTATGCTTTTTTCCTGACACTGAAAAAAGTGACTTGACAAATTAAATAAATTAAATATAAAGGGGGGTCTCTGACTTTTGCACAGGGTTGTACATACTTATGCAGGGTCTGTTTTATTGATTATGTAATTGGTCTTGCCCAAAGATGATCTATGGACAGCATGTGTTGCATGAGATGGACAGAACCAATAACATTTTACTCCATCCATACTCCAGTTGCAGCATCCACACTGAATAGCAGTGACAACAGGAAACAAGCCAACGTCTCTGTGCTGACCAGCTATTGTGTTTGTTGTCTATAGACACGTTTGCGCAGGCAGGATGTTGGACTGAAGACACACCTGCAGCAATTGGATCAGCAGATCAGCGAGCTCAAACTGGACGTGTGTAAAGCTTCTGCTGAACACCTGGAGAGTGACAGCAGACCCAGCTCAGGTGAACAGATAAATACAAACATTACCTGCAATCCAAAAGCAGGAAGAGGAAAAAATGCATACCTTTTTAACTCTAAGTGCCTATAGTATAGTATAGTATAGTATAGTGTTCATTTCTTCACCATTCTGACATATTAGTTTCATAGTAGTTACTGAATAAGTTGTCTAAACAAGTCTAGGGTCAAGAGGTTAAATGCAGAAATTGTTTATTCATTGAGTCTAATAATGGTCATTTCTTCTTTTAGGTTTCTATGAGCTCAGTGACGGTGGTTTGGGCTCTCTGTCCAACTCCTGTACATCTGTCTACAGTGAGTGCCTCTCATCCTCGTCCCAAGCCAGCTTGCTCCCACTCTCCTCAGGTCCCTCATTTCCCCACAGCCATAGCACTACAGGGCAGCCTGATGTGTCCCGTCGACGCTCCGCAGACGAGTCCACAGCTCAGTCGGATGCTCCTCGAGGGCTGGGAGTGCGACTGGGAAGCAGCGGAATACGTACAACTTCTGTTAGCTCAGAAAGAGCCAGACAGAGACCTGTCTCAACAGGTGAGTGTGAAAATGGATAGTGTTTACATGTACTGTGTGCTTGTACAAAAGGACAAAAGGGATTAATGGTATTAATTAGTGAATACTTCAGTGTTTCTAAATCCAGTATTCAGGTATAGGGATGCAAATGTTGGCAAAATCTTTAGGCCAGTAACCAAATGTCATTGATCAGTAATTAATCTTATACTGGTAAGAAATGTGGCCCATCAAAATATCAATCAAATATCGATTGTTCCTGTCATAAAACATGGTTGCCTGATCCACTTTCAAAGCCATTGTGAAGTACATAATATATGCACAGTTATGAGCGCACAAACCAGTTAAATTCTGTATTAATGCACTAAAATATTAAAGTGTTCCTTGTATGGACCCTGGAACATATTACTGTTTGGTGACAACTACAATATATTCATGATTATATGACCAAAAACTAAAAGGCTGATGAGATGACTGGAATATATTATTGTAGGCTACCAAAAGTTATATATTCTGATATTTCCCATTCTTAAGAGCTGGATTGGAATGGCATGTACTACAATTATGGATTAAAAAAGCAAACAGAGAAAAAATGTAGGCAATTGCTTTGAGATTCTCAAATGTGTAAGGATTGATCTTCCAAGTTTATATGTCTTAACCTAAAGTTTTTTTCTCATCTTTTTTTTTTTTTCAGGTGATCTTGACAGAGTGATGAGCCCTGGTTTTGGCTACTGTAAGCCTGCTGACGTGAAGACATCCAACCTTTGCAGTAACCTCTGCAATCCCACCTTGGACCCCAAATATCAAAGCAACCTTGTATCCCGCAATGGTACGGAAGTATATCGCTACCCTAGCCCCTTGCACGCGGTGGCCCTACAGAGTCCCATCTTCACTCTTAGTGAAGATCAGGGAGGGCCCGTGGCCTTTGAGGCCCAAGAGAATAAGACCCAAATGGGACTTGCTGAGGACACACTTCCCAAGCACGAGCTACCTGGTCCTACACCTGTAGGTTACATTGTTAAACTGGTCGAGCGTAGCTCCAGTAGGATGAACCTCCAGAGCGAGATCCCTCTTTCTGGTGGTGACGCCCATGAACTAATTGGTTCCAAAGCTCAAGAAGTGAACTATGGACATGTGAGAGTTGCTGAAGTGCTGGGTACCCTACAACAGAAAACAGTGGTTTTAGAAAATCATGTAGTGGCTGGAAAGAATTCAACACCAAGAAACATTGGTCAAGAACAAGTGAACCTGTCTGGCTATAGATTAGAAGAATCCAACCAGATGTGGTATGTTCAGTGTCCCCCAAATACCAGGGATCGCAAAGCAACTGTAGAGATGTGCCCCATGACCAAAGTCAGAGAGAAAACTGAGGACAAAAAGCAAAGCATTCAGTTTGATCATAAAAATAAAGATGACTTTAAGGCTGCATCGCTGGTCTCAAAACCTCCAGAAAGAATCTTGATCTCCAGCAATGAGGAGAACAAAAGCAGCGATGGAGGTCACACTCGTACACAATCTGAATTTGTATGTGCCCAGTTTGTACCGGCAGGGTCTCAGAGGGTGAAGGTGCATCAGGCAGACAAAAAGACAAAAGCAGTAAAGCTTCGTAAAAGGAATAATGAGAAACCTCTGGGTAAGAAGCACCAGCAGAAGCACTGCTTTCGAGAGCAGGAGAAGGACAGAGGGTACAGCGTTAAGGCACATGTCGATAAGGATACAAAGCTGACCAGTGCAGAAAAAGAGAGGATAGATGGTCACCTTCGGGAGGCTCGGGTTCGATCTTGCTCAGAGTCCAGTCTACTAGGATCTGGTAATCCTTGTATTGCTCACCTTCAGTCCCAGACCCAGCAGAAGTCCACCAGGCCCCGGAAGGCCCAGTTACCGGACCTGGGCAACCCTTCCCTTTGCCAACCCAGAAAGAAGCAGAGCTCTCGAAAGTGGCCTTCTGCCTCAGAGATCCAGCTCCCGCCTGGTGTCTCGACCCACTACCAAAGATCCAAGGAGGTATCTTCCCACAGACTCATGCAAAAGCCAGGCATGGCGAGAAATGTTAACATGAGACCCCACTCGGGTCACTGGGGTGTTGTTCCTCGTCCACTCCAACCCTCTCTGTCGTCTTCTTCCTACTTTAGTGACATGAACTTCAGGTACCCACCTGCACCTCCTTGCACCCGCTACCCACCAAGGTGCGAGTCAGAGTTCTCAGAGTACTCGGCAGAGTGTGCCTCCCTCTTCCACTCCACCATTGCAGAGAGTAGCGAGGGAGAGCTGAGCGACTATACGACCAACCGTTTTGGAGACAGCGAGTCCAGCCTGGAGTCCCGGACTGCCTCTGACTCAGATAGCAGCCTGTCGCTGGATGACGACGATGTTTTAGAGGAGGAGGAAGACGAAGGGGATCTGGTGTGGGCCGAGGCAGCAGTTGGGCCAACAGCGGCTGGGCTGTCCCTGCAGCAACATCCTCGACCAGAGCCAGTGGCATGCCGCATCAAAGCCTCCAGAGCGCTGAAGAAGAAAATCCGCCGCTTTCAGCCAGCTTCGCTTAAAGTCATGACGCTGGTGTAGTCCTCCAACCCACTTTGGATCAGCTGTTCTCAGTATTCTCACAGACTCTTTAAAAGGTAGCAGCAGTAGTCCAGGACCATGATTAGGAACCACTTCTTTACATAATTCAACGAAGTTCTTGGAAAAGTGACTGCTGATGTTCACTCATCTTAAATATACAGTTACCTTTGTTTAGCCAGTGTAGTGTGTTTTTAGTTGCCATCTACACCTCAGCTGAGACTGAGAATGGGCAGCTACTCTTATACCTTACCACCCAAAGACTACTTTGATTGCCTATTAAAGAAAAAAAGGATGACCCAAAAACGGAAATGTATATGGGACTGTGCAGAAGTCGGAGACCTTCTCTTCATTTATTTAATTTTCAGATAAAATGAGTCAGTGAGTACAAGTTATTCATTTTCAGGAGATATTACTTCTTTGACAAAAACGTCTTTTTGAAAGCAATTTACTCAAAAAGAATGGAAGCTAAAGGCAAAGGGGGGACCCGGCACATACTGAAAATTCTGATATTATGCTTTGTTGTTGAGGCTGTGTAATTTTCAGTTAAATGTTTTCATATTTTTTTCTTCCTGATGCTGAAAAATGACTAATGTGTACATAACTGGAATGGCTGTTATGACTGGAAATTAAATAGGATGGTCTCTGATCTTTGCATAGGAATTATACGTGCAGAATGTGCATTGTAAACTATTTTTTGTTTTCCAAAAGCACCAAAAACTAATCTTGTAAAAACATTTCAGTTTTAATGGACGGTGATACCTTCTTGTATTTTGTTCCAAATCGTTCTTTTGTGTAATTGTTTTGCACATTGATTTCTTGCTATGCATCTTATTCTTTTTGCAAAATAAACGCTATTTAATGCTTAAATGAGGTGGTCCGTGGACTCCATACTCCCTAAGGCTGTTTGCACATCTGAAAAACAATGAAATGTAATTGCAGGCAGTGGAAGTATTTATCACTTTTTTAACAGCTTTATACACCACCTGAGGGGTAAAAGTGTGCAAGAGTTTATCTAGCAGACAATTAACCCACATAATATGAGCATTTGATGAGTTTTCTACGGCCATTCGCACTGAATGACCTTGTGTGCAGATACTTTGTGTGCGGGAAGAGCAATAAACCACACAACACCAACATGTGAGGGACTAGGTGTGAGCAAACCAGACTTTAGACCATTGTAGGTGTTTCTGCATACAGTGGTGCTTGAATGTGAACCTTTTAGAATGTTCTATATTTCTGTATAAATATGATCTAAAACAATCATATTTTCACATGAGTCCTAAAAGTAGATAAAGAGAAACTGATTAAACAAATGAGACAGTAATAGTATACTTGATCATTTATTTACTGAGGAAAATGATCCGATATTACATATCTGTGAGTGGCAAAAGTATGTGAACCTTTGCTTTCAGTATCTGGTGTGACAGACAGATGTCCTGACATTTTCCTTTAGAATTCTCTTAAATTATTCAGAATTCATTATTTCATCAATGATGGAAAGATGTCCTGGTCCCACATGCAGCAACCCAGGCCTAAACCAAGATACTACCACCACCATGTTTCACTAATGGGATAAGTTGTGGTGTTTTCCTTTGTGCAGACATAATGATTCTCATTTAAACCAAAAAGTTCTATTTTGGTCTCATCTGCCCAAAAAAACAATTTTCCTGTAACCTTCTGGCTTGTCCATGTCATCTTTCGCAAGCTGCAGATGAGCAGCAATGTTCTTTTTGGAGAGTAGCGTCTTTCTCCTTGCAACCCTGCCATGCACACCATTGTTGTTCAGTGCTCTCTGATGGTGGACTAATGAACATTGACATTAGCTACTGTCAGAGAAGCCTTTCATTGCTTAGAAGTTACCTTGGGTTCCTTTGTGACCTCGCCTGCTTGGTCTTGGTGTGATCTTTATTGGTTGACCGCTCCTGAGGAGGGTAACAATGGTCTTGAATTTCTTCCATTTGTACACAATCTGACTGACTGTGGATTGGTGGAGTCCAAACTCTTGAGAGATGGTTTTGTAACCCTTTCCAGGCTGATAAGCATGAGCAACTCTTCTTCTGAGGTCTTCAAAAATCTCCTTTGTTCATGCCATGATGCACTTCTTCAGACATCTGCTATGAAGATCTGACTTTGATCGATCCCTGTTCTTTATAATACTGAATCATTTTCTTCAACAAATAAATGACCAAGCATAATATTTTTCTCTCATTTGTTTAACTGAGTTCTCTTTATCGACTTTCAGGATTTGTGTGAAAATCTGAATATGTTTTAGGTTTATTTTTTGCAGAACTCTAGAACATTTTAAAGGGATCACAAACTTTTAAGTCCCACTTTATGTGTGAAAGGTATTTTTGAAAAGTGACGGAACATCACCAGGAATCGTGGAGGGAGAAATTGATAAGCCTAAATAGCTCCACCACAGAGCTGTACTATAGAATTAAATGGGTGCACTCTGTGGATATTTCTATTAAAATTCCTGTGGTGTCACAGAGGTTGGAGTGGGGTTAAGCACTGTTTTTGAGCAACAGAGCTTTTTATACACACAGGTGGAGACCACATGATCTCTTAGGTTTCCTTTAATCTCAGTCAGACAGGGTTTTAAGGGGCTTAGGTCTATGACACAGTGTCTCAGGATTTCATCAACTTTTACTTACAGGCTGTGGCTCTGCATGATTCAGTCCACATGAATATAGGCAGCGCAATATAATCTGTGCTCTGTTTTTAAAGGATTATCTAACACTACTGTAGGCCAGTGTTCATAAGGCTACATGACACCTACATAAGCTTGCCATGACAACTGATACTTAAATTTATATATATATAAATATATATATAGACATTGGGTTGTATCAAGGTCACTTCTTTGGCACATTAAATCACCTGACTGTGCATCGTAGTGTACATCATACTGACATAATGCTGATTATGTAGTAACATTTTATTTGAAGGGTACCTTTACAGACTTTATTTAACATAAAGCTATATCTCTGGCTTCATGTGTATTCAGAACCATGTCATGTAATAACTTTCCCTAATGTACCTTTTAGAGACATGAAACGCAAAGAATCTAGGAGGGATCTTTGACTCAGAGCTCAAACTTGATAAACAGATATGAGCAGTGATTAGAAGTAGCTTTTTCATCTTAAGAATGTTCATAACATAAAAAATGAGATTTACAAAAAGTAAAACATGCTTTTAATTCATCACGGTTTGATTATCGGGTGACACTTTGTAGCTTGTATTCATAAACAGTTATAAATGTGCTTATAACTCTTTGTAACTTGGTAACAATGCTTTGTAAGCATACTTATAAACTCTAATAATGCTTCATAAGGCTGTAATAAAGTACTATAATTAATTATTTAATGATTTATAAACATGTTATAATACAAGTGTTACTATCCAATATAATGTACATAATTTTATCCATAATACTCAGTAATGGTTACAAAGAAATTTGTGAATATTTAAAATGGTATCACTTCAAGTGAAGTGATTTAAATGTTTGTTTTCCACATTTGAATATTATATGTGTCTGTCAGTGAGTGTTCTATAATATGCTGCATATCTTTTATTATTAAAGAATCACCTGCGAGAGCTTCTTGCCCTGCAAGGTTAATTTGGCATTACCTATGTATTCTGGTCATATTTGGACAGATCAGGACAAACAAATGTAAAATGTTTTTTTTTTACTACAGTCTTTTTTAGAACTTCAAAAAAAATATATGAATTAAAGTTTTCAAATTGCAACCAGAAAAGTGCATTTCCTGGAGAAAATGCAGTGATTATGCAGCTTAAGCGGTTCCCAGGTGGTTGCTAGGGTGTTGTCAAACAGTTACTATGACATGTTAGGTGGATGCAATGGTGTTGATAAGTGGTTGCTATGGCATCCCAGGTGGTTGCTAGGGTGTTGTTAGGAGGCTGCTACGATATACCAGGTGGTTGCTAGGGTGTTGCTAGATGGTTGCTATGGTTCTTCACATGGTTAATAGTGTTACTGATGGACAAGAAGACATAAATTGGGTGCATAAACCTTTGCAGCACATTCATTTCTATGCGGGAAAAAATGTAATTTAACGATAATTGTATGAAAACTATACATCCGATCAAAAAGCTGTATACAAGCCACCATTTCCAATCAGACCTAACATTCTGGAGCTGTAACAGTGTGAATATCACACAACCTGTGGGATGAGTTAGCAGACAAAAATATGAACCAAAAGAAAGAAGAAGAATATACCGTCAGATGACAAAAGCGATACACATTAAGTTTAGAGTAACATATTATATATTTATTATATAATAACATGTTGATCACTTGAAGTGCTCAGTGATGGCATGTTAAATGTTTTTAATGTTTAATAATGTTAATGTATGTTAATATGTGTTAAAGGTGCTCTATATATATTTTGCATAGGCCAGTATCCATTTAAAAGGCATTATAAGGAATAGTGACAATTGTGATACAACATGTTTATGAAGCATTAGAGCTTATAAATACGCTACCAAAGCATTGTTACCAAGTTACAAAGAGTTATAAGCGCTTTATTTATAATGGTTTATGAATACAGGCTTCATAGAAAGCATTATTGTAGTTTGTTATATGCTGGACTGAGCCAGTCGTCCTTGTCACATCTGCAGCTGGTGCAGAATGCTGCTGCTCGAGTACTTAGTGTTGTGAATAAGATGGAACATATTACCCCAATCTTAGCTGCATAATATTGATTAAAGGTTAATTTTAGAATCCAATACGAAGTATTATTAATTGCTCCTAAAGCTCCTAAAGTGTTGGGTCCAAGATATATTTCAGATTTGCTTTGTCCATAATCTGCTCCCAGATTTATGAGGTCATCATCACAGCAGCTTCTGACTGGCTTAAGTTGAAGGGCAATGGTGCTTTTGCAGTCGCTGCTCCAAGACTATGGGACAGGCTACCAATAGAGGCCAGAAGTGCTAAAGGCAATTTTAAAACAAGACTCATGTTAGCATTCAAAAAGTGATGACATGGATAGTCAAATGAAGTAAGGTTGTGTGTTTGGTATGTTGTGACGGTCTGTGTTTTTGGTTTGGTTTATGTAATGCTAACTGGCCCTGCCTGCTGGGTGCCATCTGCATTCAATAGTACACTTTTGCCTGGACGGACAGTAGGATTGCTATAGAATCTGTGAAGAATGCGTGTTTCAAATATAAGTCAGTTTTTTATTCCAGCCAATCAGATAATTGTAATTATATAAGGAGGCGGAGCCAACCAATCACAGCAGCAACACCCAGCTCCACAGTGAAACTGCTCTGGATCCAGATGCCGCTGCTGAACCTGCTTGTCAAGACTAATAGTCTATAGCCACTATAGCTTCTGAAAAAACAAAGCAAACTCCTGTTGTGCCTCAGTGGCCACAATTACTAAACTTTAAGGGCGCTTTTCATGCTCGTGCTGATTTGGACTGGTCATACGGGGTTTCTGTTGTGACTCGGCCATGTCTGGCTATGGTGACCTTTGGCCCCAATGAGGAATGGGATTAAGTCTTGATAGAAACAGACAGAACCTACAGAAAGAAAAGAAATGGGTTGGGAGGGGAAAGGGGAGAGAGGGAGGGGGACGGGGGTCCAGCTGTGCTTCTTTGAAGCTTGGTAAAGGCCAATAGGCTTGACCTTGGGCTTGTGTTCACCTCTGCCAGCTGTCTGGCTGGATCATCTCACACATCCCTTCACAATGGAACAAATTACCAGCTCACTGCACAAGATCACCACTATGTGTTCCTCAAAGGGCCCATAACAACTGAACGACTTTTTCCTCAATTTTAAATATAATGTAGTGTAAATATAATGTAAAATATCACTGTAAAATTACACTACATTACTGCCTAATA